AGGACTGCAGAAAAAAAATTACTACCCACCTGCCTTCAGTCGAGAACCTGTATACTGCACGAGTCAAAATGAGGGCTGTGAAAATATCTACAGACCCCTCACATCCTGGACATAAACTGTTTCAACTCCTACCCTCAAAACGACACTACAGAGCCCTGCACACCAGAACAACTAGACACAAGGACAGTTTTTTCCCCAACGCCATCACTCTGCTAAACAAATAATTCCCTTAACACTGTTCAACTATTTACAAAGTCTGCACTACTATTACTATTAATCTTCTCATCCCTCCTACCACCACCCCTCCCACTTGTGACTGTATGACTGTAACCTTATTGCTTGTATCTTAACAATTTATATTGACTGTTTCCTAGTATGCTTTGATTGCTTATTTGTACCCCGTGACTATCATTAAGTGTTGTACCTTATGATTCTTGAATAATGTATCTTTTCTTTTATGTACACTGAGAGCATTTGCATGAAGACAAATTCCTTGTGTGTCTAATCACACTTGGCCAATAAAGAATTCATTCATTCATTCATTTATTTAGCTACATTCAAATGAGGTTTGGGGTACTTCTGATTCGGTGGGATAGGGAAACCTAGTCACTGACTTATCACCAGACACTCAAAACAAATGCATATCTTTCTTATTGTTTGTAAACCGCTCAGTCTCATCTTATGGTTGAGATGGGCAGCATGTAAGTTTAATGAGCAAATAAAATAAACCACAATGTGGTTTAGTTGGTCAGGCACTGCACGTTAAATGAACAGAGCAGCAATGGTGCTTTTTAAAACCTGAAACTTGGATGTTTTCTGCTAATTCAGCCTTTGATTCTATGTAGATATTTGCAACGCGGCCCCCAAATTTCCATCGCTCAGCAAAAAAGTGAATTTTGCCTCATTTTACAATCTTTCTTGCCACTGTTGTTAAACGAATCACTTCAGTTCTTCAATTAGTCATGCGGTTGTTAAGTGAATCTAACTTCCCCGGTGACTTTGCTCGTCAGAAGGACACAAAAAGGGGATTATGTGACCAGCCCAGACACTGCAACCGTCATAAATACGAGTCAGTTGCCACAAGCGTCTTAATTTTGATCACGTGACCATGGGGTCTTATTTGCAAAAAAACAGTTGTAAGTCATTTTTTTTATACCCGGAAACCTCTTCTGGACTTTGTGGTTCAGGTGGGGAAAAAAATGAAACTTTGATTTTGGGTTTTACCGATTCGATAGTTTTGTTGCTACAGAAATGGCTACTTGAAACTATTGTGTAAAAGTAAAAAGTTGAGGTTTGACGTTAATGCCTTATTTTATGGCACCAAAGAAAGTAAGTCAATGCTTTTCTTTTTTCCCCTTTTTTCCCACAATTTCCTTTTCCCCTTCCCTATTTCTCCTTCTTTTTGCTTTTGTATTATTATTTTTTTGGTATGTTATGTCATAAATTAATAAAATGGTTATAAACACCCCCTCCCCCCCAAAAAGTCACTTTTTTCAGTGCTGTTTTCATACCCCTGTTGGAGCCTGAATCTGTGGGGGAAGATGAGATGGAACTGGAGCCAACAGAGATTGAGGGGGCAGCTTCGTTGGCTCCGGAACACAATGGGGAAGGCCAGAACCTTTTATGATTTAGACAGCTTGAAGGCAGGGAGGAAGGGGGGGAAGGATGACCAAGAGAGACTAAGCAATGAACCTGAGTGACAGAGCTCAAGCAATGAGCAAGCACCACCCTGTCCTGATCCGAGAGCATGGAGAGTGGAGAGAAGGCGAGAACAGCGCAGACTGAGCCAGCTACTTGGGAGGAGAGCGCCCTGCCCTTCTTCACAAGGCACACCTGGGGACTGAGACTTAAGGAGACGCTGCGGGGAGAGGGCTTCGTCAGGAACAAACACTAGAATTACTGGGATGTTGAGTGCCGGACGGTTTAAACCTGAATCCTTGCATTCTTTCTGGATTTCTGGATATCTTGTCTTGCTCCTTTGATTCCTGGACTCCTCAACTTGCCCTGCTGGATTTCTTGCTTTTCAGTCACGGTGCTCACAAGTTGGGCTGGATTATTTGCAGCCAGGGGCTGCTCGAGGTGTGTGGGTGGGATGTCATCACTTTGCTCTGGGACTTGCAAGGAACATGGGAGCATTGGGGGAAATTTGAAGCAAGAAAGGGGCAGTTTGAGCTGCCAGCTGCCTGTGTTACCTCTGTGCCATGCCCCTAGCTCTTCACAGCTGTTACTTCAAATGGTCGCTAAATGAACAGTTGTACATCGAGGACTACCTGTATCATTGTCCCTAACTTCCTGGCTAAATCTAGCTTAGGAGAGAGCTGAGACTTGGAGGAACAAAGCAGATGCATTTTCGATCTTTCTTTCTCTTGTCCACTTCACAACTAGCTGCAACGGTGACCCAGGAACCATTGCGAAGCCTCCCTGGTTTCAAAGGCCCCCTTCTCTCCAGTCAAGCAACAACGGCCAAGGGAAGGCCCGGTTTCCTGGGGGCACCCCTTAAAGGTGTTATCCACGTGGGTGTAAATGCATCTGTCGATTGCCCACGCTCAGCCTCCTCTTCTCGGAGCTGAGGCAGATGGTCCCTGTCCTGCCTTCTTTCTTATTATTATAGGCTCAGATTGTGTTTGGAGAAACAGGAGGGCAGATGTTAAATATGTTAAAACACACGCCGTGTCCCCTGGAGGTTCAGTCCAGGCTGTTGTCTCAATTTGGCCGTTTGAGGCATGGCTAAGCAGGGAATATCAGCGTTCAGTTCATTCTGCCTTTCACAAAGAGCTTTCCATTCAGTTGTCCATCCTACGACTGAATTACAGATTAACAGAGTTGGAAGGGACCGTGTAGGTCATCTAGTCCAACCCCCTGCCCAAGCGGGAGACCCGACACCATTTCTAACAAATGGCAGTCCAATCTCTTCTTGAAAGTCTCAAGTGATGAATTCGCAGCCCCAATGCACCAGCAACGTTTTATGTATGTATGTATGTATGTATGTATGTATGTATGTATGTATGTATGTGTTTGTTTGCCAACAACCCTGTGAGGTGGGTTGAGCTGAGAGAGGGACTGGCGTTCATGGCTAAGAAATGACTAGAACTCCCAGTCTCCTGGTGATTGGTCCAAAGTTACCCAGCTGATTTTCATGGCTAAGGCGGGACTAGAACTCGCAGTCTCCTG